CCACAATGACAGGCGCGACCAGCTCGCCGTTGGCAATAGATGCATTATCATTGCAGGTTGCGTCGCTTTAGCACCAGGTCGAGGAACTCACGTTAAACCGTAAGCACCGCAATCGGTTTGGATCATCGCCCCGTCGCACAAAACCCGTTGCCTCAGATTACTGCTTTTACCACTCGCGTTTCGATAATAAAGTCCATAGGTGCGTATAGCCGTTTAGCTACTCCGCTGTAGATGATCCACCACGCCGGGCTGTAATGGCCACGAAGGTCGGCAAACCCCAAAGTCGTCTCATCTACATTAAGGATTATGACTCCGATACCCAGTTCTTAGTTGATACTGGAGCGGAAGTCAGCGTCATTCTTCCTATGCCAGGTGAGCCTAGCGCCTCTCTGTCGACAAGCCTCATTGCCGCCAATGGCATGCCAATGGCCACCTACGGTCATCGGTCGCTTACCCTGGACCTAGGCCTTCGGCGCACGTTCCGCTAGGTATTCACTGTTGCTGCAATCCCCTTTACCATCATCGACATCGACTTGCCCAGGCATTTCGACCTCTTGGTCGATGCGAAACGCCAGATGATAGTCGACGCTGCAACAAAGCTCAGCGTACGTGACATCACCGCTGATGCCACATCTATATCCCCGGTCTATGCATTTCCCTAGATCGCGTCAGACTACGCTAATCCCTTTTCTCAGTATCCCAAGCTCTTTCAGCCAATGAACTCAGCTTTGCCCGTGGCAGCTAAAGCCACTCACCACATACGGACGAACGGCCCACATGTGTCATGCCGTCCACGCCGACTATCGCCCGAGAAATTAAAGGTAGCTAGGGCGGAGGTTGAGCACATGCTTGAACTTGGAATAATCCGCACTTCCGACAGCACTTGGTCTTCGCCTCTGCAGATGGTCCCCAAGAAACCTGGTGACATGCGCCTTTGCTGTGGTCGCCGTGCACTCAGTCGGCTAACCGTTCCAGATAGGGATCCTATCCCACACATGCAGGACCTTACCGCATGCATCATAGGTAATACGATCTTCGGCAAGATTGATCTGGTTCGCGCCTATCACCAGATACCTGTGGAAGACAAGGACATTCCTAAAACAGTCGTCATCACTCCTTTCGGTTTGTTTGAATTTTTAAGAATGCCATTCGGACTGTGCATCGCGGCACAAAAGTTCCAAAGCTTCATCCACGATGTCACTCGTGGCCTAGAATTCGCCTATTCCTACCTCGATGATATCTTAGTAGCCAGTTCATCGGAACAAGAGCAACTCCAGCGCCTTCGAACTCACTTCCAGAGCTTGGCCCAACACGGTGTCACCGTCCAAGCGAGTAAGTGCGAACTCGGCAAATCAACGGTAGAATTCCTAGGCCACCTCGTTTCATCGACTGGCATCGAAGTCCTTCCTGATAAGATCCAGGCAATCAAGGACTTCCCAGCTCCGAGTACGTTCAAGCACCTCCGTCGATTTTGTGGTTTCGACAACTACTATTGACGCTTCATTCCGCGCTGAGCTCAGCTCATGCAGCCACTGACTGACTTATTTAGTGGAAATGAACGTAAGTTCGCTTTCTCTGACACAGCACAGACAGCCTACGCCGCGCTCAAGGATGCTATCTACAACATAGCTCTCCTCGCTCATTCCGAATCGACTGCACCTCTTTCTATTCCGTCTGATGCCTCAGATGTCGCGGTAGGAGCCGTCCTCCAACCACACGTCGGTGGGCAATGGCAACTCCTTGTGTTCTTCTCCAAACGCTTGCAGCCAGCGGAATCCCGCTACAGCACGTTTGGCAGAGAACCGCTCGCCATTTACCTAGCCATCCGTTACTTCCGGCACACAACCGAAGGCCGTGTTTTCACGGTCTGCACTGACCACAACCCCCTCATCTTCGCCTTCAAATCTGCTTTCGACTTATACTCACCACGGGAAACAAGACACCTAGACCTTGTCACGCAGCTCACTGCTGACATACGTCAGGTTTCAGGTGTCGACAATCTTGTTGCCGACGCTCTCTCACGCGTCAACCTCACTCTCCAGTCCTTGCCTACCGTCGAGCTTGCCGCCATGGCATCGGCACAGGCCCTAGAAAAAGGCAAGCAGCGCACTCAGCATTCCACTTCGCTGCGAGTGCAACTTGCTCCTCTCCAAACCACAGAAGAAACCGTTCTCTGTGACACTTCCACAGGCTGTCCTAGATCCCTCGTGCCCGTCTCCTTAAGACGCATAGTATTTGACGCACTCCACCCACTATCACATCCCGGTATCCGTGCACCTTTGCAACTGGTCACGGAATGGTTCGTTTAGCAACGCGTAAACAAAGATGTTTGTACCTGGGTTCGCGCGTGCTTTCAATGCCAGCGCTCCAAAATACATCGTCACACCCGCAGTCCTCTAGGCTCATTTCCCGTCCCGGGCTCTCGGTTCTCGCATGTGCAATTAGACCTAGTAGGTCTCTTGCCTCATTCACACGGATTCGTGTGCATTCTTACATGTGTGCACCAATTCACCAGATGGACAGAAGCGATTCCCGTAACAGACAGCACAGCTGAGACTGTTATCCGAGCCCTTTTAGATCAGTGGGTCTCGCAATACGGATGCTCATCCACCAGCACAAGTGTCCGTGGAACGCCCTACAAATCTTTACAATTCCATACGTTCTGCAACTTTTTAGGCTACCGTCGCATTCATTCCACAGCGTATCACCCCACAGCCACCGGATTAGTTGAATGTTTCCCTAGACAGCTTAAAGCCTCTCTCTGCGCCTTCTCTGACCTTAGCTGGAGAGGAAACGTCTCGTTCGTACTACTACGCATTCGCAACGGCATCAAAGCTGATTTGTAATGTGCACCAGCAGAGCTGGTTTACGGCACAACGCTCAAGTTACCAGGAGAATTCGTTTCACCTCCCGAGTCGTTGGGTAGGCCTCCGCCTAACTTTACGTCTTTATTAGTTCAACGCATGCGTTCACTACGCCCGACTCCGCCCCATGAGCGGACTAGAAATGTGCAAATGCATAGCGGACTCTCTACCAGCACTCACGTCCTCCACCGCAACGACGCAGTGCGGCGCCCTCCCCAGCCTCCTTACACAAGTCCTTGCAGAGTTCTGCAACGGACTCTGAAACATTTTACTTTAGACCAGCATAGTTACCGAACACCGCTGTCCATCGACCGCCACAAAGTGACTTCCTTTGACGAGCCACTTGCAGCCCATCCTGATGCTCGCTCAAAAGCACCCGCACCTGTGGTGACTTCCCGAGCGCTGGATAGCCCGAAACCCTCCGTACCCCTTGACCTGCAACCTATCCCGCCGCAACCCCAGGAAACCGACCGACGCGGTAGACAGGTTAAACGTCCAGTCCGTTTTTCAAATTTTGTAAACGTTTACTATTTCAATTAACACGCCTTTTTCGTCTTTAGTGCTTATCCTGTGACTCATCCACAGAAGGTTTTGCAGAACCGACAAAAAACCCAAAACATATTGAAAACCAAATAGGCGCGTTTGCTTTTATCATGCATGCCATGTTCCCTCTCCGGCGTCAAGCCACTTCCCCGACCCTTGCCCACCCCCTCTGAGTTCTACCTTCCAGAAACTCAACCGCCGGAACTGCCCAGTCAACCCTCGAGTGACTCGCCAACCAGCTCAATGCAACCCTGGAGTGACTCACCAGCCGTCCCAAAACCCCTTCCTCACCCAAGGAACAGACAGTCGCCCTCTACTGCAGACACCCACGAACGGATTGGTCCCGGAACGCCACCTAGGCATTGCCGAGGAGGACGCCGGATTTCTTGGTGGGACGAGGACGTCTGGATTTCTTCTTTGGACGAGGACCGTGGGCTAAAGTGCAGTGGGGGGAGTGACACCTCCCAAGCGCACCGTCGGGTCTGCAGTAAAAGGAAGGTCCTGTCGGCCATTTACCTGGACTAGCCAGTTTTTTGCAATCAGACTAGCCCGCCCCGACGGCCCACCGATGATGCACTCGGGTTCACACGATCATCATGAATAATAACTAACCAACGCCTAGACCAAGCGCGCTCTGCTACACACCCCACATTGGAAGCCCTTCCTCAAGCCCATGCAAATATCCGCATCCACCCTCACCTTCTGTTTTCCGACACTAACAGCTCCATCGAAGGCTTCCATCCATCAGCCTCCTCGGGGTAGGCCCTTGTAGTGTACCGGAAAACAAATTCTTTCAGTATTTTGTAACGTTGGATTTTGCGGTTGTTTTAACCTTGGAAACGTCCACTTCATTTACTGACTACACATCCGTTGACACAAACCGTTTTGGTGATTACCTCGCTGCACGTTTCTCTCTCTGTCTGATTCGCTTCCTATTCTCGTAGCCTGCACAACCCACGTTGGGTTCTGTCGCCTCCGACTTCTATACTGTCGTATTTGACACGTCTTACGTGTCATTGCTTACCGACTAGTATCCCAGGCTCAGCCCAACAACCTAATCGTTAGTAGCTAGAAAGACTGAGTCAGTGCACGCGGTGTCTGCAGAGGCCTTTAGATAAGTGCCGAGTAAACTATTTCCTAGAAATACCGTAAGTTTACCGTAATATGTAGAATTGGAAAATCATGTAGTGGGGCTTGAGGCTGAACCATAAAAACCAAAAGGTTGCGCATATTCTCGCTTCACTTTTGCAGAAGTAAGGGGAGTTGTTCAAAGTGGGTATACCGGTGGTTTTACTACGCTTGCCAATATAAAACTCAGGAAGCTAGCTAGGCAAACGCATGTACCTCCAATGGGACTTAGTCAGTGCTAACATTTTGATGCTGTAATTTGCTTCAATCAACTGTCCGCTGTAAGCACCCAGCTGGTAAGTACTGGAAGATAAAAGCAAGAATGGCTTTTATTTGGTTTTTACACACTGCAGTGCATACTGCGTTGGTAACATTTTCGTTTTTCTTCTTCTCGGGGAATAGGCGGTGTTTTGAATGTTTACGTGGTAACCGTGGTTGCATGCTTTGAACACTCCGGTAGCCGTGATGGATGAAGAGTTTGTATCAATAATGCAAAATATAAAAGCGGCTTATCATGCATTAGAGCAACCACAAGGTATTCAATTCCTCGTTACATCATTATATAAAGAAAAAAGTAAAGTGCAGCGGTTGATAAGAGACCTTGCTGGTCTATCTCTAACAGATGAGCAAAGGTTTGGCGACTTTTTGCTTGATCACTGTGTTAAGCAGAGTTCAGCGGAACGAACTTGCAAAAGCATTGCTTTTCAAGCTAAAATACAGTGGGTTATTTGGACTCAGGGCCAATGATTCAAACGTTTCTAGACTGGAAGTAAGCTTTTGTCCACAACTTTTACTGCAGGCATATCCATCTCAACCGACGGTATTTGAATCCACAAATAGATTTCAACAAATAAATGAATGCTCGCAATGACTTTGAGCTGCGCTGTTAGGAGAACTGCATTTAATAGAGAAACATTATCCGACTAGTTTTTACGAATTCATTAACTGTCCATATTCAATCGTAAAGGTATTCACAAAGAAAGGAAAATTAACTTGCATATCTTATCAATATTTAATGTACTGTTTTTTTTACAACCGTAACAATGCCGTTAGGTGAATTGTAGGTACTGGCACTAGTATGCCTGTAGTACTTGTTTGCACGTTCAACATCGGAGGGGACTGGAACGATAGGAAATTTTCTTTTGTATTCCTTCTTGTGTGGACTGTTGGGGCAGGAAATGATAAGGTGCTTCGAGATCCTGATGGGATTAAAACGAAACGCCCTACCCACACTCTGGTTAACCAAGTATTGCACGCGTTTCCTGCATTAGTAGGCCCCGCTGTGTCGGCCACGGGAAGTGAGAACAATATAGGACGCAATTGCAAGATAAAGGGAAGGAAAGTCCTCTAAATGTAGGATACCATCATCGAGTGTAGAGAAGCACAGAGTATGAAAGCAAAGTAGGAAGATGGGTGTGGTCATGCAAAGGAAAGGTTTCGTGTTGCCACTCAAGAACGTCTAACGGCCGCTCCAAACCCATAACCGTTGGTTCACTGGATACACTTTCTGGAAGGGAGTTCCAGCCCTCGATAACTCTGTACGATAACCGAGTTTCCGTCCTTATCCGGTCAGAACGCAACTTGTGTAGCTTCATGGGATGACCGCGAACCAGGGCTAAATAGTCAGCTTAAGTCCGGTCCCACTTTTCCAGTTAACAAACGGTAAGTGAGTATTAGGTCTCACTGAAGCCGTCGGTGGGGCAAGGAATACATAGCCAAGTTAAGTAGACGCTCGGGATACATTTGCTCCCTTAACCTCCTTACCAACTTGACACCTACTCGCAAAACCCTCTCTAGCTCCATTTTGACGTGAATGTGGCAGGACGGACAAGCCTGGACGCAATATCCCAGATGGAGCCGTACAGAAGCCGTCCAGCTTAACTACGATGTCGACAGTTAAGATTTCGTAAGAACGGCGTATTAATTATAACATTCGGAACCACACTACCTGAGACTTTCTACTAGTTACCGCCTGAATGCGAAGTCGAGGAATGGACGATGTCAAGATCCAAGTGCATGGATACAAGAAGGAGTTTGACCTATCTGAGCACATACCTCGAAGGCGCGAAACTTGCTTCCATACGTAGAACGGAACATATCTTGATTAATGTACAGTAGCTACGAAATAGCTCAGTTCCAGAGCCTATCAAGGACATGTTGAATGGTCGCAGAACCCCCATGTACATCAACGACATTCCACAGATTTAGGTTATCAGTAACTAAGAACGATGATAGCCCAGCATCCACAGGGTGATCGATTATATTGACGGAGAAGAGTATGTCAAAGAAACGGAACTTGTGAGGCACCGCTGAGGACCGCTTACCTAAATGACAAGCTGCGATCCACGCATACTCATTGTTCTCTTCCCTGTAAGAATGCAGGCGCGTACTGAAGAACGCTAATCTGTGACAGCCCCCAAACATGCCAAAGCGCACTGGACCGATTAGAACTGGCTGTCAATCGTTTTGGGCTATGCTTTGCTCCATCGAAATGCAAAGTCCTTCTCCAAGATTGGCAGGGACCCAACCCTGAGCTAACGCTTGGTGGTGATCTGCTAGAAGTCGTTCAGCAATTCAGGTACCTGTGCAGCCATAATAGCACCCGTGGTATTGAAGAGGAGGTTACGAACCGCATAGCAAAAGCTTGAGGTGCTTTTGCCAATCTCCGCCACCTGTGGCGCAGACGCGACATTACTCTCGCCCAGAAGGGAAGAGTTTATAACGCGGTCGTCCGTTCAACTCTCCTATATGGTTGTGAAACCTGGCCCATCAGGTCGACTGACATGAAGAGGCTAGTCACATTCGATCATCGCTGCCTTCGCAGCTTAGCTCATGTCTGGTGGGAACACCGCGTGAGCAATGAGCGTGTTCGACGTCGCGTATTTGGTGCAGGAAGAGCGAGTGAACCGCTCAGCACCATTATATCATGTACCAGACTCCGATGGGCTGGGCCACGTGTTGCGCATGCCATCACATCAACTTTCGCGACGTGCATTGTTTGCGCGTTGTGGGTGCGGTTGGAAGAGGAGGAGGGGAGGCCAAGTGATGACTTGGTCGAGAGAAATGAAAACCCTCACTTCGAAGTTGGCGTCGGTTGGTGCATCCCGACTGCCTGGCTGGAGTCCTAAGGACGATGAACACGTTTGGTTGGACACACTTGCTGATATGGCTCGGAGCCGGCACCAATGGCATTTGTGTTGTGATTTCCTTTGCCCAACCCCCTCCTGTTTAGTATCTCCCTCCAACCATGATCTCACCTGTTAGGCATAATACGATTCTCTTTTACGACAGCCAGATGTTTGCTCTCCGGAACGATGTCCATCCGTTAGTGGGGACTCGGCGGGCGTGCCACTGTTTTCCTTTTCTTTTATTTTGTGTCGCGGCACAATAGCTGAGGTGTTTTCCACCTCCAGCTAACGTGTAATGGTGATGATGATGATGACTGAAGGGCGCGTTCAGATACACCGTAGGAGTTTTGCTTTTATGATAGTCTCAACTGAAGTATTTTGTTAAATGCTTTCAAGAAGTCGACGAAAAGCAAGTCCACTACGTGTCTATTGTTTACTTTCTGCATCCCACTTTCCCTAGCTACTGACATATTTGTTAAACACGAAAATCCCTTCCGAAATCCATGTTGTGCACTACTAAATAGACTCAATCGATTAATTTGACCCTCTAACGAATCTCTTACCAATTTTTCAGGCAGGTTATCTACAACGTTAGTCAGGCTGACTGGTCTGTAATTGGCAGACAGAATCGCCGCCATTATTTTAGATAAGATAGATTACAGCCTCCTACTCTTCAGGTGATGTACAGTTGTCAAGTGTCTTCTGAAACAACACTGTCAGCGGTCCGCTTAGTTCCGCTGCCAACTCACGCAGAAGCTTCTGATGGATTAAAGCAGGCCCAATTGCTTTAGACAGGTTTAATTCTTGTAGCAGCCTAAGGACCAGCGTTTCCACCACAGTAGATTCGGATAAACAAGAACTTCCTTGGACTCGTGAAACTACTTCCACACTGGTCAGCAGCTCTCACGTACAAAAGCCTTTGCGTACTGCTCCCCAGATACACGAAGCTTGTCGGAACCGGTATACACATGAGTTCCATCGGCTCACAACTTAGTTGGACGTGCCGAATTTGAACTACAGCGCGTGTTAGCATAAGCAAAATCGTCTTCGGATTGCTCGAGGCACCATCAGCTAATCCATTTCCGTACAACCATAAATCCTTCCTGAAGTGCTGTTTACATCTGTTTTTAGCCTCGCGGTGCCTATCCTAGGTGCTGGTTGAGCGAGCTGCTTGGTTAGTCGTCCGGCACCTGGAATGCTTCTTGAGCGGTGCTTGCTAGTCGTGTCTATCCACGGAGCTGTGCCAGTCTCCCTTTTCTCCTCGCAAACTAGATGTGAGCATACAGTTCCGTGAACTAAGACTTAAATTTATCCTAGGCTGCCTGAACCGTATCGGTTACCGAAATTTCGTAGTGCAAACCTTAAGTCTTGGTACTCATTGCTTGATAGTTTGCACGCCATATGTCGACAAATGGGTTAAGATGATCTGCTGACTTTTAGACAGAGCGCAGCTGCAAAATAAACTGACATGTTTGCTGGTACCTAAGGGAGGGCCGGAGCGATGTCACCTACGAAGTCCAGTGATTTTGCAAAGGAAAGGTCAAAAATAGACGGTAATTGGGCGTCCATGTACCTAGTAGAGAGATTCCCGAATTGACGCAACGGTACTTGTGGAGTAAGCTCAAGAAGTTCTGCAACAAAAATATTTAACGCTGAGTTGCAAGCAACATCTTTCCAACAAACGTCCGGTAGGTGGAAGACACTCGGTGTCAAACATCTGTTTGCGGACTGGAGGCGAAGAAACTCAAGCACCCCTTCGGACGCACCCCAGGGCTTCTATACACAACTACAGCTGTAGGTTGAGCCGAGGTAGCGATAATCACTACCGACAGAGCTTCAAACGATTTGTCTATCACCTGAGACCTGTAGGTCTCAAAACGTTATTTACATCTACAATAAAGCGCGACGCTCCCGCCTTGTCGGCCAACAAACCAATTACATCTAAATAGTGTGTGGCCAGACATATGTACTTCAACATCCGTGATGTTCTGAGATAGCCACGTTTTAGCGAATGCAAGTATATCGGAATACGACACATCTAAGACCGGACCTATCTCCTACACCTTATTCCTTAGGCTACGCTCATTACTGAGCACCATGCGAAGGTATAAGCAATGTCCAGACTTGGATCGTGCACTAGTAGAACGGGCACCGGAAGAGCGGAAAAATACTGCCGGCTAACTACCTGAAAACCCACCAACCATAGATCCTATTCACCAGTCGCTTACCTGCTTTTGTGATTCTGAATGGTTTTCTTTACCGTTGGCGCATCCGCTATTGAGTAGTCCTGCTGAACACTAACATTAGTACCTTTCAGTTTGGAAGCAACAGCGTTGTGTCTTACAGGTGGAAAAGCCCGCACGATGTAAGCTCGGCCGTGTGTTTGGTGCACTAACTGAAACATTACCCACTCTAGTCAACTTCCTGACAGTAACCCCAAAAACCCAGGGGGACAAAACTTTGGTACGCACATTTTACGCCACTAAAGGTCCTCCAATCTGCGTCTAGGAGTAAAGATGGCACGAGGTTCCACTGCGATTCGGTACATAACGCTGCTACCTATAAAAGAATCTCTTCGTCGGTGCGTATTAACCCATGTTTTTGAATTTATATTAACACCAGTCCGCTTAGTTGTAGGCAA